CAATTATAGCACTGTGATTCCACTATCTGCCATGGTAACATCTTCTGGAAACCTGGGGTTTGTAGTTGCATGAAACAGTGGAGGAGCTCTCTAAATGCTCCTCCTGATCCTTAAATCTTTTAGGACAGAATCATGGTAGTTAAAATGGAATCATAGTACTATAATTGTATAGTGTGAAAGGGCCATGAGTTAACACTGCACAAATACTTCCTAAATAACCTGTTTTCCAGATGAAAATGCTATACCCCATGCAAAATTCTAGGTGCATAAAACCATGGAAAATGAATGTCAGATGATGTGGCATTTATATATACCTGTTTATATCTGCAAACCCAAAGCTTTTTTTACAAGAGTAAAGTAATTCATCTGTTTGGTGTTATAGCTGTATATAATATGACATATAGATATTCTGCCCAGCCTGAATCCACATCAGTGCAAATTTACAGTATGGTCTTGCATTTACTGCATATGAATCCAGAAATCACCCCCATGTATCAGAGATTCCATATTTCAAACTGAGCTCTTGTAGTCCTAGTTTGGTCCTTAGCTTGGTGAATTACCTATACTCCATCAGTTGAAAGACCTCTCCATGGTATAATTTTTAAAGAAATCCTTAAATATAAACAGATGGAAACATTTAAAACAGACTAGAATCATCCTTTTAATTCTTGACAATATTTTTAAACCCACAAACCTGTAAAACTGGAGTAACAATCTGTGGTTTTGAGGACAAAAGGCCATGAGAAAGTCCCAAAAGGACAGATTCAGCCTGTTTTCTCTTGGAAGGAAGTTCACAGCTGTGGTGCTGACAGAGCAACCTCTCTTATACTTTTACTCACCAATATCTTCATATACAGAAAAAGATAATGGTTGTCAACATACTACTTTGTGATCTTTAACATAAAGGTTTTAGATCAGCCAGTACTTAAGGACACTAGGAGTCTGGAATTATACATTTGCTTGATTTAGAGGAACTCCAGAAGTTCAGACTCCAGCTTTTTGTTGGCCCATACCATACATGCGTAAATTTAGAATACAATGAGCAAAATGTAGACAGCACCCAAAAGCCCTCTGAGAAGATGAAACCAATTCCATCATGTTTTGGCCTCCTCTGGGACATTTTAGGTCCAGGGAAAGGGTTAAGATGGCCCAGATGGTAGCAAAGCATGGAGTTGATCATGAGTCCTGTTTTTGCTTCAATTGTGTTAGAACAAGAAACCAGGTACATACCAGTTTTGGAGCTTTCCTTATCACACTATCCCTCCGTTAACACGGCTGAGGCTGACTATGGCATGGACTTTCTTTCCCAGACTCTTTATCCCCCTTTCCCTATCCAACATACCTTACCCAACATGCTTTCTTTTTATTTTTCTTTAATTGTTTATTTCTCTTTTTAAATGATTTTAGCCATTATGGCACTGCAATTTAAGGGGGAAGGAGAAGAAAAGAAAAGAAAGTGACTCTCCCTCCTGAAAACCAGCTAGTGGAGGGAAGTGGAGGAGAAGAGGAAACATTTTTTCCCAATTTTTATTGTAACATAAATTAATATACAAAGATACACACATACAGATACTACAAATACAAATAGAAACTACCTAAGTTATTATGAACTGATAGTTCTCCACAGAACGCTTATGACATATCTTGTTTATGAGCTGTTATGTTGAGATTACAACTGATTTTCAACTTCGTGTAAATACAAGCCCAATTACAATTGCTAGACTGTTTAATCATTTAATATTGCTAGATCTTTTCCTGTTAGTAGAACATAATGTTTAAACATGGTACTTAAATTTTCCATCTTTTTTTTCACAAAGTAAATACAAATGTATCCACCTTCTATTTGCATCTTTAGACAGTTTTCCAGCTTCTAAATCTTCTCTTTTATCTAATTCTGAAATATCAACTAATTTATGTATCCAGCTATCAATAGTTGGTATTTCCTG